ATAACTGTAACAACAGCAATTGATTTGACTGTAACTTTTACAAAGAGCTGTTCCTGTGCCAAGCATCTAGCTGGCACTTGCTCATTTAAATTTCACAACAACCGAATGAATTTGGTACCACTAATGGGTCCATTTTATAGATGAGAAAAGTGAGGCACAGAGTTTCATGCACCCAGTAAGTGGAGGAGCAAGATCTAAACTCCAGCAATCTAACCTCAGCCCCTAGGCCATCCTGCTCCAGAAGAAGCAGGATTTTTTATCTGCAGATTACACAGCAGGAACCTTAGCTGGCTCTTGGAGGCCCGGAATCTGCAAAATTGTTAATAAGAGTATGTGAGGCAGCTTTTTTGTTCCAGGCTTAGGGTGAATCACTTTCATTAGCTCATGAAGCAACCTGGGAGGCAGGTGGTGAGTGCATTCCTGGCCTGGGGGACAAGGAGTTTGGGGGTTCCCACCTAGTCACCGGAACTTGCTCCAAAGTCAGACGCCAGGCTTCTGTGAGTATCTGGTGTGGTTAAGGACCCTGGCCATGGGAGCCAGGACTGACCACAGGCACGGGCCCCTAGCAGCCCCCAGAGAGGTCCAAGACTTGTCCTGACAGCAGCTCCCATCGGTCCTCTCCAAAGCTGGGCTGGGACATAAAGGACAGGGTGGCCACAGTGATGGCGCTGGTGTCTGGGTGGAAGACAGCACTCTACACCACAGGGTGGGTGTCACGTCAGATCAGACCACAGACTAAACCATGCTGGGAGCCAAGCGTACCCCAAAATGGCCACAGCCAAATGAAGAAGGCCCAGTGCCACCCTGTCCCTGAATTTGTCCCTACCCATCCCTCTAAAAGCAGTACTTCCCTAGCACACAGAGCCCCTCCACAAGGCCCCAAACCCCAGCCACCTCCAGCCTCCCTTCCTGGTCACTGTCACCTCCCTAACAGCCTCCTTGTCACTGTTGACCAGACAGTCTCCAGCCAGCAGCCCAAACTCATTCTGTTGAATGCTCAACTTGAAATAATTTCACACTCAGAGAAAAGTTTGAAATAATACAACAAACATCCAGATGACCTCCCGGGTTTAGCAACTGTGAACTGCATTCCCACCGGATGCAGTATCATTTGATTTATCATTGCCTTCCCTGTAAATATAAACTATAGATAATATTTTTTCTCTTCCTGATCCATTCTTGAGAGTAAGTCATGGACATCATGTCCCTTGCCCCTAAACATGTCACTGCTTTTACTTCCAAAGAGCAAGGGCATTTTTTTCCATAACCACAGTACAGTTATCAACTTAATGAAACATAACATTGATTTGATACTATCAGCTAATCTACAGTCCATATTCCAATTTTATCAATTGCCCTGATGACGTCCTTTAGAGCAATGTCTTCCCTGATCTGGGATTCAACGGCAGGCCACACTTTAGACTTAAAATCAGAAGCAGTTCTGGCCACCTTTTGTCTTGCATACCATTGGCATCCAGACCAGTTCAGTAAAATGCCCCTCACTTTGAGTCACTCCCTCATTTAAAACCCTCCACTGCCTCCACACCCCTCAGTTTGAAATTCCACATCACTGGCCTCCAGGATCTGCAGGGTGCCGCCCTCCCCCTGCCTCATCTCCAGCCATTCTCCGTGCTCAAAGCCCCTGACTACTTGGGCCCAAACAGACCCTAGGCATTCTCTTCACTTCATGGACCACGGCTCTGTTTAAATGATTTCCCTCTCTGCTCCATGTGTTTACTGCCTGACCCCATGCAAGGATGCGGGTTCCAGGGAGGGCCAAGATGTTTGTCTGGTCACTGCTGCCTTCCCAGGGCCAGAGGCAGGGCCTGGCATGCAGGAGGCACTTGGAAATTGTTCACTGAGTAAATGGACAAGCAAAGACAAAGTGCTGGGGCTGAGAGCTAGCAAAACAGGAGGCTCAGAGAGCCTGGGCATCCAGGAGGCCTTCCCAGATTCCAGAACCTCCCCCCACCTCTGCCTCTGACCAGAGGAGGAGGCACCCAACAATCCTCCCTTATCTTTAGGGTCGCACCAGTCCACCAGCCAGTCCCACTGATTAAGCTTTTTAAATCAGTTCCAGTAGGCTGGCAGGCTGGATTCCAGAAGTAGAACTGATGGGACCCTGGAGAAAGACCCTGGCCCCCTATTGTCCACTGGCCTGTCCAAAGTGCAGAGCCTCCCCACCTTGATCCTTAGGTTCCACCCCCATTCATATATCCTCCAGGGACCAGCCAGCCCAGGGAGTCAGGGCAGGGACGATACACAATTAAGTACAAAATCCTGCTAATAGCTCTTTAATTGCAGAGTAAGGGGGACTGAGTCAAGGCCTACCAGAGTGCCTGCCACTGACTTGTCCATTCCACTGACTGCTGTGAATGTTTCAGGGCTCACACTGTAGCAATATTCAAGGTGATGGGAAAGGGAAGTGCACCCTTCATGTCAAGCCCCATGTATTTTTTATTTCACCTCTTCTTCTGCAGAGGAAAGGACCAATCCCTCAGTGTAAATGCAGGAAGCAGAGGACCCTCCTGGAGACTCGCACTCATGGTCCGCCCGCCACTGTCAGTACCTGCCCTGGCGGAGTCCCATTCCAGGCCCAGCCAGTTCAGAGCGGGAAGAGGTCCAGCGGTAACTCGGCCTCTCACTTTGCTCGCTGTGCGACCCGGGGCAAATGGCTCAGCCTCTCCGGGCTTCCCAGTACAAAAATAAACAAATAAAAGATGGGGCTAATAACGCTGGCGAGACCTAAAGATTTGAAAGCCAAGGAGAAGCACGTTGAAAGAGAAAATTTAGCACCTGTACCCAGCAAAAAAAAAAAAGAAAGGGGGGAGGGGTGCTGGTTTAGGAATGTCACGGCCCAGCTCCAAGCAGCGAATGTGGGCCAGCTCCCCACCTCCTAGCTAACGGAATTAGCACAGGGGCTCTGGGCGTTGGCCTGGGGTCCGAGGTCTCGGACGGGCACTCGAGGCAGGGGCAGCACCAGCCTCCCCCACCCCACCCCCGGGCTCCTCCATCCCGGGGTGCATGGACTTGAGGTTGCGCTCCCACAGCCCGCCTGTTATTTCCTCCATGACCTCAGCCGCCCAGAACGCAGAAGTCAGGCGGCCCCTAGCGCAGGAGCTGTGTAGCCAGGCCTCTGCAGCCACCCGGCGCTGAACTTCACCGACCTGCCTGCCTCCAGGCAGTCGATTCACCTCTCCCACCTCAGCCTCTGCATCTACCTAATGGGCTTTAAGCGGTCTGCCTGCGGCGGCCGGCCTCGGCTTAGCCCCGACACAGGGCACAACCCCGCGAGTAGGGGTTGTGCTCACTGCTACTGATTAGGATGCACTGCTTCTGCCAGGCCCAGGCCAGATTGGAGACGGGGAGGCCGCGGCACCCTCTCCGACTCTCCGAGGACAAGGGAAGGCCCTTCCAGCCAGAAGATCCGGGGCCTGACTCCCAAGACTAGGAACCCTGACACCAAACCCGATCGGACCGAGAAACCCGATGACCGCGGCCTTTGGGGGCACCTTTTGTAGTTCAGGACGCCCTCAGCCCTTCCTCTAGGGTCCCAGTACCCCTCCCTCACCCACAGAGCACCACTTGGGATTAAACTCTCGTCTTCCCCGCGGCCCCCCGACAGAATGCTAGTCCCCAACTCTCAGGGGACACGCGCGCGCCCCAGGGCCACGGCTGGTCCACAAGCGCCCGCCACGGGGATCTCTGCGCTCCGGCCCCCGTGCGCCCCTCCCCCGCCAGCGCCTCACAAAGGCCCTTTGTCCCTCTGAGCCCCGGGACTTAGGTTCCTGAAAAGTTCCAGGACAAAAATCAAAGAGGCACAAACGGCGAGCGCGGCCTCTCCCGAGCTAGCAAGGTCGGTGGCGCAGGGCCAAGGATACCTATGCGGCCAGAGGTGTCCCCTCCAAGACCCCAAGGCCAAGGGGAGCGTCGGGAGCTCCCTGAGAAATCGCAAGACTCCTAGACTACACTATGGGACAAAGAGGTGGATTTTTTTTTTAAGTCGTAGCGTGGGACGCCAGGCACGGAAGCTGGTGGCGGAGGGACCAGGTTTCGGCCGCCGTCAGTTCTGCAGGTCCGACTAGGGCGGCCGCGGCCCGCCAGGGATAGTTTCTCCCTCCCCGGCGCGGGCCCCACCGATCCTAAACAGCCCCTCGGGAAATGGCGGAGGCTGCCGGGTCCTCCAACCGTCTCTTCTCGCAGTCCAACAACAGAACTAAGGTTTACCCTCCGCCGCCCGTCCCGGATCCGCTCCCGCGCCGCTTCCTTCCCCTTGCTTCGGGATGGAAGCGGCCCAGTTTCTACGTCCCCGCCGCGCCACGCGCTCGCCTTCCAGACGAAAACAAGGGGTCCCCGGAGCTGGGGTCGTTGCCCTCCTACCGGGGTGCGGGTCCTGGGACCGCCGTTCTCTCTCTTTGGAGGTCGAAGGAATCTCCAGAGGGCTTCCGCCCGCCGAAGACCGTGGTCCCAGGGCAGGGGTCACCGTCCTCCCCGCACCCCCAGGCTCTTGGGCTGGCCGGAGACCCTGCACCACGCCAGCGAAGTGCTAGGAACCGAACCCAGAGCCCACCGGCGCCGGCGGGGGCGCGTGAAAAGGAGGATTCGAGCTCCGGGAGTGGATGTCTCAATGCCAGTGGGGCTCGTTTGTTCTTTTTTGGCTTACATTTTGAAAACTGCAGCCCAGGCTGGGGCAGCATGGGCTCCGGGGGTTAGAATAGCCCCTGGTGGCTCCAATTTCGGCAGTTGTGCATGCCTTGGCAGACCCCTGCGCGCTGGGGAAGGCAGAGGAGCCACGTGCCCCTCTCTGCCGGGCCCTCCGGACTGGCCTTCGCCAGGGGCCCAGGGGTCTCCCCGCCCCGGGAACTGGGGCTGTCCGCACCCCCGTGGACCCGCCGAGGGAGCTGGGAACGCCGGGGAACAGGCCGCGTAGCTTTTCCCAGGCATCCCTCCCCAGGATCCCAGGAAGACAGGAAGGGACAGGCAGCACGCAGAACACTTACCCGGGTGCGGGTGGAGGTTGAGGCCAGCCATATACTTCCCGGGCGGCAGCGGGCCGGGCAAGCCCGAGGCAGGCAGGCGTCCAGCCGTGGCTGTGCCCACGCGGTGGCTGTCCATGGCCAGGCCGGACAGCAGCGGCGGCGGGGGGCCGTGCACGGACCGCGGGGGCCCAAAGTCTCGGCCATCCATCCTCCGCTGGAGTGCCGCGGCCAGCCCCCCACCCGGCCCGCGGGCCTCGCTCAGTGGGACCTAAAAGTTCGGCCTCGGCGTAGTCCCAGAGTCCTCGGGCGGCGGGGGCTCCGCGGCGGGCATGGTGGCGGCGGCCAGCGGGGCTTGCGCTCGGCGGCGGGCCCTCGGCCCGGCGCGCACAGGCGGCCGACAGTGGGGCCCCTCCGGGCGGCCTGGCGGAGCTGCGCGAAGCAGCGCACACGGCGTCTTGGCGGCGAGAGGAGACGGGCCACGGAAGAAACACAAGAGGAGGAAAAGGGGAAAAAAGAAAGGGAAAAGCAAACAAGTTTCAGAAAGTCGTCTTGCAGTTCGGGGCCGGGGGCTGCAGATCTGGTGACCAGAAATGAAATCGGGAGTGGCCCCTTTTCCACAAAAACTAAAAAGCCAGGCTTCAGGCTTCAGGCTCCCGGGGACCCGGCTCGGAAAGTGGCGGGTGGTGCGCTGCGCCCCTACCCGGACTCTGCCTCGGCGGCTGACGGGTCCTCCCAAACTGGGTAAGGGCCCTCCGCCGCGCGCGGACGGCGTAAATACAAACCTCCCCAACGGGTCTGAATCCTGGGCGTCACATGCTCCAGGCTTCAAACTGTGAAACCTTTCCTTGAGCAGTTCGAAATGTCTTCCTAAACACTGTGCCACTATCTAATCCTCAAAGTTTAATATTTAACCTTTTTTGGCCCCTAGCCTCCCTTTTCTGACTTTGGTTTCCCCTGAGCTCGCCTCGAGCAGCCGAGTTTTTTTTTTTTCGGAAGAGAGGGTGCAAAGGGGGGGTTATTTTTAAAGAGGCTCGCGGCCCCCTCCCGCCGCCCTCCTCGGGCCACTGAGAGTCGCGTCTGAGTCCGAGACCCCGAGACGTGGCATTCTCGCCTGAGGACTGGAAAGAATCCTTCAAAACAAGCTTTGGTTTCATTTTCCAACGCCCTGGTCTGGGAATGCTGCGGCCCCGAGGACGTGGCCAGGCGCGGGAGGTTGGGGGAGGGGGTCAGAGGGGAAGCAAGGGGCTTCTCAACGGGCTCGCTGCTACCCCAGCTTCCCGCAACCCCAAAAATAGCCTACAAAGAAAACCTTCCCTGCGCGGCCCGACCGAGGGGCGCCTCCCCTCGCGTTGGGTAAATCCCCCTGTAGTTCCAGTTTAAAGATGTTTGTTTAGAAGATTTGCCGTTTGCCGATTCCCGTGGGGGCAGGAGGGGGTCCTGGAGCCAGCCCAGCCGTCGCTCTCTGCCCGCAGATGCTCGGATTCCGACTCTGGGAGGCCCCGGCGCTCCTAGAGCTGCTGATAGCGTGGATGCCTCCGGCTCCCTGTGCCCGCCAAGCGCCCCGCGACCGGCGCCCAGCCCCCCGAGCCGCAAAGCCCTCAGCTTCCTCCAGCCTGCCTCCCCAATTTTGGCCAAGAGTGCTTATTTTAACCGGGTTTTAGTTACAAACACCCCCCCCTTCCTCTCTGTCTCCCATCAGGCTCTGGTTACCAGATCCGCGTTTACTTTGGAAAAATCTAAGATCGCCACATCCGAGGATACATGTCTTAAGGAGGCGATGAGCTTTCCGTGTTTTTTTTTTTTATGTTCTTTGTATAGATATCTCCTAAAAGCCAGCGCTTCGGAGCATGCCCCGGAGCCCCACTTTGGGGAAGTCGGGGTGAAGCTCCCCAGAACACCCTCGCTCTGGTAGGGAAGCTGGCTTGGCCATATGCGGGCTCCGCTGCGTTCTCCCTACTTTTCTCCCCCTCTTGAATGCAGTTAAAATGGCTGAATTCCGGCTTTTAATTAAAAACAGCCTATAATCGAAAACGTCTCGGCGTCCCTCGCTCCCCCGCCTCTTGCCGGGAACCGAAAAGGGAACCGACGCCCCTCAGCCCGGCTGGGCGGGCTGGAGGTTCAGGTCGCTCGGGACGCAGCGGTTCGCCCCCACCCCTCCAAGGGCGCCCCCACCTCGCGGACCCTGGTTCCCGATTCCTTCTCTGAGTCCGGAGACCTGCGGGGTCGAACCCCGAGGGGGAGACGGGGTGGATGGCCAGCTGGAGAAGTTTGAAAACCGTCGCGCCCGGCCAGGAGTAGGCGGGCGGCCCGGCGGCGTACCTGGCGCGGCGGGGCTCCCGGCTCCGGGCTCTGGCGACTGCGACTCCGGTTGCGGCCCCGACTCCCTGCGCGGCTAGGCGCCCGTACTGCCCGCCATCCCGCGGTTGCTGCTCCCCTTCGCCACCCGCAGCCGCCTCACACTTTTTGCCCGCCTTTCCTTTTTTTGGTAGAAAACCGCTCCCCGGGCCGAGCGCTCGGCGCGCCAACTCCTCCGCCCTCCCGCGGCCCGGCTCCCGCAGCCCCCGGAAAAGCCAGCTTTCCTCCCGCCGAGCTCCCCGCTTTTTAATAAAATCCAGGTAGCGCCGGTTTAAAGAATCCCAAATCTCCATATACAGCCCGGGATTGGAAAAGGTACATTACACAACCCCCCTTTCAAGTTCCTCTCGCTGGATCTA